TGAATTTGATAAAAGAAAAATGATGAAATACTTTATAAAATACTTTCAAAACAGATAATATCCTTTTTAATCAGTTTAAAAAAGAAAAATAGTAAAACACAATAAATGTATTGAGTAATGATGAAAATATTGTTTGTTTATGGTTGTATAAGTCAAATAACATATAATACATTTTCTGTGTGAATTTCTTCATATTCATCATTCTCACTCACTTTTATTTTTTTCCTTTCCATGTGAAATATTTAACACTTTCATTATTTCAACTGAATGTAATTATTTTATTAAGTGTCATGTTATTTTCACTGACTATTCTAAATTTGTTTCATACAAATTAATTATAAATAAAAGGGGTATGTTTGTTTTATCATTTTAAATACGATGATTTATTTTTACATCAAATAACCAACAAACATCATTTACAAACAAATATATTGTGAAATAACCTAATTGTAGTATTTAAATGAATAATAACTTAAAAATAACAATGAGTGTACCAGAAGATAACACAAAACAAATGAAATTACTTTTAATTGGAGAAACAGGAAATGGGAAAAGTTCAGTTGGTAATTTCATTTTAAAGAAGAATGTTTTTGAAGTTAGTGATAGTCCAAATCCAGAAACAAGAGAAGTTGTTGGAGAAAATGGAGAAGGAGAAAGAAGTGATTTATTTGTTATTGACACACCAAGTCTTCAAGAATCAAAAGAATTTAATGAAAAATTTTTGAATGATATAGTTGATATTGTTAAAGAAGAAGGAATAAATGGAATTGTTATTGTTCTAAACTATAACACAAATATAATTTCCAATAACATTAAAACAATGATTCAAATAATGTCTAAAATCTTTTCATCACATGACTTTTTGAAACATGTTTGTATTGTATGGAATAAGTGTTATTATTATATATCAGATAGGCAATTAACAAACCAAAAAGAAATTAAAAGAAATGAATTTATTCCAGAATTACTGAGACGTACTGAAATACTTACAGGAGCAGAAGAAACTATTGACATTCCAATGTATTATGTAGATTCAGAACCAGATGAAAGATGTGATAATATCAGATCAGAAAATGAAATAGAAAGATTAATTG